CAACCTGTAAACTCTACTGAACTGTAATGATTAATGCAAATGTTTCTGTGACATAAAATATCCAAATAAAATCTATGAAAATATATAAATATTTCAAACTAATGATTTTCACAAAAAATATCACAACGAAACTTTCTCATAAAATTTGCTCAATACAAAAAATTTAAATTATTTGCAATATGTTGGCAAACCCATGTTGGATGCTTGTTCTGTCGACCTCAGAAATATGCTCATTTATAAAATATGTTTTCAATTAAATATTCTACACCAAACTTAATGAAATGCAGAAATTTCAAATTATCATTCGATAAAAAATTCGAAAAAGTTTAGAAAAAAAATTGGGAAAAAGTTAAACGGAACCAAATGACAGCACGAAGCCATTAAAATCTCATTATCCCACACTTTTTCCATATCCAAGCAATTGTCCAAAACTAAATAAATATGAAGGGCATGTTTTCATTGTTCTTAATACATATTTTTGTAATATTTTTCTATATTTTTTTGTATTTTTTTGTATTTTTTTGTGTTTTTTTGTGTTGTCATTTAAAAGTTTGTATGTAAAAAGTTTGCGGCAATTAAACTGAATCTGAAGCGAAGGGATTTCGAGTCGGTTTCCATGAAATACACGTACGTTTCAGATTTTTTGCCATTACGGGTTTTCGGTTATCTGCAAAGTTTAAGTGGCAACATTAGCGCCAAAAACTGTACGCATTTCAGTTTTTTAATTTCTGTAAACTATTCTCAATGAAAATAATGAAAATGAAAATAGAAATAAAAATAAAAATAAAAATAAAAAATAAGTAAATAGTAAAAGTAAAAGTAAAAGATTTGTGAAAATAAAATTGCTTCAAGCGTTGGAACAATCCATAGTATAAGTAGAACCCAGAGTAACTACTTTTTGTGTGTTTAATTTTTGTCCTGGTGAGTGGTTATTGTGTTGACCCAAATATTTTAAAATATTTTGTAAATTTTATAAATTTAGTAAATAATTTGCATTTGCATTTATCTTTGACATTCACGCCATTGTTACGAGAGTAGCGCATTGCAAAAAGGAATTTAAGGCGCGACTGGTTTCTAATTCACTTAAAAAGCGTATATGGAGGAAGAGTGTTAATATCCGGTGAGGTTGTATGTTGTTACTGAGCAAAGTTTTTTTTTTAACTATAGCCCTGAGATACATGCAGTTGCATAAAAACTCGAATATGCAATTTTTAACCCATAATTTGTTGATAATTTCGCAGCCACTCCTGCAATTGTTCAGTTTCGCCCAGGACGATAATGCATACGCTCCGCAGTTGTGTTCTGCATTTAATATTTTTAATTGGATCCACTCTGTCACTTTTGTGTTTATCCAGTGACTAATTAACATCTAATTACACTAGTCCAGTTTGTAACATTTGACTACATTAAAATAATTACCAACGAGTTTATTATTTATGATTTTAATGTTCGGCAGTAGTTCCCACTGGTAAGTTCAGTGAATTAAAAAAAAAAAAATTTTATAAAGTGTAATGGTTTACATAATTTGTATATCAAATATACTTTTTTTTTTAACAGTGTTAATCCTTTGCAATTATAATTTGTTGAAATATTTGAGATAATTTATGAAAATTTTGGAAATTGTTTATCGAGTCAGTTGGATGTTAGTGGTCGTTGTGGTAAAACGAAAAATACTCTTTGATATTTTACAATTAATTTTAACTATAATATATATAATAATAAAAGTATAATAGAAAATATGAAAATATAACTTTTATCCCATGTTGTTAACTATTTTCTTTATAATTTATTTCCTTTTTGTGACAATAATTTGAGTATGAAATTTGATATAAAAACAAGAATTTTAAATTTATATAAAATGTAATTACTCTACTATCTTATTTTTAATCTTAAGCTTAAACCCAACTGATATATATAAGAACTAAAAGAATATATGTAATACTTTCTTTTATATATTCCCTCTGTTAACATTCGCAACCTGTAACTCGAATAAGATGTTGTCACACATAAAAATTAATCTAATAATCTTAATCAGTATGACAACTCTTAACATAATTATAGAGTTATAGAGTTGACTATCTGTACATCTAATTATCAGGTAATTTATTTATCTATGCAACTTTTAATGCACACACATATCTCTAGTTTTTGGTTCTTATCAAAGAAAACGAACATTGAAACAAGCTGGTGATGTTTGCAGATGAAGTCCATCGAAACATCTAGCTGATGCTCACATATAGAGTCCATTGAAACATTAAATGGATGCTTGCAGATGGCGTCCACGAAACATCTAGCAGATATTTTTAGAAAAAGTCTTCAGATAGATTAAAATATTTATCGACATCATTGAGCATCAATAATGCCGGTAAAGAGTACACAACTGGATTGTAATACAGGGTTGAGCGATTTAAGTGCGACCTATTCAAGCAACTATATCTTTTTTGTGTGAAGTCATTTATTATTGATTAAAATTATCAAAACTTCTGGAAATAACGTACATTTCTAAAATCATTCACACTAGTTCGTTGTGGCCACTGTTTTTCTTGACTACAATCTTCAAACCGTTAAAACAATGAGTTGCTTGTTTCACAAATGTGACCATCCGGTATTTTGATCTATTCCTGAACAAAGGCTTTCTTCAGCGCATCCACATTACGCTAAAAGTGGATGCACCGTGCTCTCTAAAATGACCCGGATGAAATAGTCCATCGGATTTGTGTCTGGGGAATTCAAAAACTATTGTGTGGTTGAAATAAAGTGTGGAATCTGCTTTTTTAACCATTTTTGGTTCATACAAGCTTTATGTGACGATGCCGAATATTGTTTGAACATCCTTGATCTACCCCCGATATGTTTGATACGCACGACTGTAAAACAACTTCCAAAATATTTTTGAAACCAGGCTCAATGAAAATGATTGGAGCGCGTCCAGAAAATTTCCGTAGAGCTATATATAGTAACTCTGTAGAACAAAGTGTGTTAAAACACTTCTAAACTTCTAAATTAACATATATGTGGGCTAATATCATGTACAGGTTATGATAAAATAGAAACTCAATACAATTGTAATGAGTTATAATATATAAACGATAACTTTTCTTAATGGCAAATATAATTTATAATGTTAGATATAGTGGCAAGTTATTGTAGCAGAATGGTTTTGGAGTCTATCTTAAATATTGGATATAAGAGATGGCTTTTGATTATAAGCCATGATTTTAAGCTGATCCCAGACTATCTGCTAAATCGAGTCAGTTATGGAGTTTTTTTTACTTTTATATTCTTATGTAATTAGATGGTCGATAGTTAAGCTTCGAATAAACACCGAAAGGCGTAACTATTTTTACGTCTTAAACCTTTTCAGTAAGACACAGTTGAAATTACTAGCAGGTTATACGATTGGTCAGTTCGGTATTTGAAATTAAATAAGTTTCATCGTTAAATAAGATTTTTTAATGATATGAATGATCCAATTGTAGTCGGATAGAATGTTTGAAAACCCAATCTTTAAAATAATTAGGCAATGAATGGTCGCTTTTTATGATTTTTAACTCAACTCAACTTTTTGACTTACAGTGTAAAACCATCAGAAAAAATTTCTCGTGATTCATTTTAAACTGCGCCTTATTTCTTTCATATCTGTAAAGCGGAATAGACAACTGTAGGCTCATTATTAGTATGAACCCCAATATATACTTGGAGAAATATACTGTGACCGGAGATTGTTTTGTTTTAAAAACTGCTTTTCTATTAAATGGAACTGGGCTAATATAAATTGAAGATAGGTTTTATCAAAAGTTTTTATAAAGTGACTTTTTTTTAAATATGCGGGACTTACTATTTTTAGGGAAATTATTGGGAAGTTGAAATGAAATGTCTATTAGTTTATTATTAGTTTAACATGGTTTCAGTTGTAAGTAGTATAAAATAAATTCATATTCATATATGATTAATATATAACTCATAATAACAAAAGTTTATAATAAAAAAACTCTTTATGTATTAATTAACACTACAAACTTAATTAGTTAATAATGAGAAAAACTCATGAACTGCATTAATATCACTTAATGCGAGCTAATTTCAGCTTCAAATGCTAAATGATATTCAAATAAAATATTATTGAAATTGTTTTCAGATTTAAGTTTAAATAACTTAATTTAAAATAACATATAAAATTGCTAAATAAAGTTTTAATTAAGAACTCCTTTGAAGAGTTCACAATTACAACGATACAGATTTCATTGATTTCCCTAACACTTTTCAAGAAAATTATTAAAACTGAATTATAATTGAAAACTCTTTGCATTAAAACTTGTTGAAAGGAACTTAAAGCTTATGCTTCTGAAATATCTCCAACAGATTCTTAACAGTCGCCGTAATTGTCATTGGAAACTTTGCAACTTTATTAATAAAGCGAAACTTAGTTTCTAAGTAGCGCAGTAGAGGCACTCAAAGCTAGATACTGAATCTGGCAGAATACTGAAGCTCTGCTCGCAGTTTAATTACAAATTAAACAAAAGTTGCGATGCCATGTATGTAAACCTAGAAGGCCGCTTTACGGAGTGGTGTGAGGAGAGAGAATTCAAATCTTATTGTGGGAGTCTCTTGTTAAAAGTAAATACTTGAATGGGAAATGAATGTATAAAGTTTTCAGTAACATGAACTGCGTATGTCATAGAAAACGCTTAATATTTGTTAGTGGGGTAAGTGCGGTTAAATAGAGCAGGAGTAGAAAGAGTTAGTACGTAAATGTTAAAACATTCCCAGAGCAAGCAAGTGTTAGATTCACACAGACTAAAATCATGTATTACAGGGGTTCGTAAGGGTATTAAGGATGATGTATATACTTTTTTATCCTTACATTTTTACATTTTAATAAAGGATTCAAGCTTTAAGCAAGCAATTTTTTGAAAGCTTTGCTCGTAATTTGTTAGATAGTTCTAGACATTTCCAGCATTTATTAGTCTTCGATAAATTTAAAAACTTGTGGTACAAACCAGCAACTGTTTGTATCGGTCCAAACATGCCTGCAAATTCATCGTCGTTGGATTGATAGATACGATCGGAACTAATGTAAAATGAGTCGTCATTGTAAAATTGTTGCAATAAGTCGTTCTTCTCACTATCGATGATATCTGAGAAACAAAAATTTAAATTAAAAATATGAATATAAATAATATAAAAATAAATATGTAATATAAAAATAAATAATATAAAAATATAAATAATAAATATATAAATAACTAATAATTTACAAAAATTTTTAAATTAAAATTAAATTAATGCAATTTAAATAAATTTTAAATAAAATAATTTGTATAAAATTGAGATAAAATTTTGCTTTTTGAAATAAATCAATGATGTAAAATACCCCCAAAGAAAAAACCGAAGATGGTGCTTCTTGGTATAACCTGTGTGTTTCGTGATTCGTAATACTTCTCAAATAATTGTAAACTAATGTTATTTGTCATAATAAGTTATTTTAGATATAAATCATGAGTCATTTTGTAGTTGAATCATATTGTGTTGAAATCACAATTTTTCTGGATTTTGAATCATATTTTGGTTTTAGTAACGATATTTTCAGCATAAACTATTTTCAGTACCAACTGATAAAAATGTTGTCAATTGCACTACTGCTACGGATGACATGTGATAAAGAAAGAAGAGAATGGATATATATTTTCTGGCTAATGCGAGACGGTGATAGAATTTACGCGTAACACTTGCCCTGTCATTGTCTGATCCTGATAACCCTGATAACAGTACTTAATGAAGCAAGATCCTAAATTCAGTAAATGTACTGGAGAGTGAAGGATGATCAGGTATTATCAATTACTTTATTCATTTCTGAATGTGATAGGACCATGTCTATAAATTTCATGTAAAGTGCGGCACTTACCTGAACTCAATTATTTTTTTTTTGTATTTTTGTAATAACACTTTGTAATTTTCATAAGTCGTGTAACCGCATATATCTCTATGGTGAGATACGTAACAATACTAAATGCGGGAGTTGGTTTAGTTAAAAGTTGAAGAAAAAACGATTACTATGATGTTCCTGAAATGCACTGGACTAATATACAGCATAGTAACAAAAGCACAGTCTTTTGACTAATTCCAAGTACAAGTTGTGGTTAAGTTGAATGAGACATTGTCCCATTGAAGGGATAATAAAATTAATAGTTTTTTTTGTTTTCTTTTAATGAAAACATAAAAGTAAGTACATTATAATGTATATTAAAGTTATTACTTTCATTTAAATAAATTCGTCTGAGTGGTCCTAAGGTATTTAGACACTTGCTAGCTTCTTCGTATAAGTGTCTCTGGGGCCGCTTAGAATTGACTTTCGTTTGTTGTTTTTGTTTACAGCTACTGTGGTAGGTTCTTGGTGTAAATCGCCGTTTCGAGTGTACCGCGGGAATTTGTTTAGAAACATAGCATATAAACATCGTATAAATCTCTCTGGGGCCGCTTAGAATTAGCTTTCGTTTGTTCCTTATTGTTTATAGCAACTATTGTGGTGTTGAAGCGGTAGGTTTAGGGTGTACATCAGCACTTCGAATGTACCGCGGGACATTTACAATATTTCAGGAAATTTAGAATTTGCTTTAGAATTTGCTTCTAAATTATAATTTTATTGTATATGGAGACTCCTATCTTTATCCTATATGCCAGTCTATGTTTGTTACTTTGTTAGTTTTAATTTTTGATACCAGAAATGTTTAAAAATATTTGAGAAACCTCAAATTATATATTATATGAAGCACAAAATAAAAAAGCATGTGACATTAACCCCATATTATTTCATTAGCAGTATGTGTACTTTAGTTTACTTAGAACTAGTTATAGTTTACAGTACTCAAACAGAAGTTTTCTCTTAAAAAACTAAATAATATTTTTTACTACTTCGAAATAAAGGTGTAAATTGCTGTTCAAATTTTTATTATTCCAATAAAAACTGCTGGTGGTGGTGAAATGTTATAGAGCGCACACCCTGTTTGCTACATACGCTTGCAGTTACATTTTAATGACAAGTATCCTGCCACCCGGCTGCAATGTTTAACATATGCAACAGCACTCCACTTACATCCAAAAACTGTAAATGGTTGAATATTACACAGCTGTCACACTTCTTTCTTCCTTTTTCTCCTGATTTTTTTTATCAAAAGGATTTCTACTACATTGTCGGGGCTTATGAAATTGTTTCTGGGTGTTTAATTTTTGTTCATATGCACTAAATTCATTGCATTTTTTCCTTTGGTTATATGGCGTTCTTAACATTTCAACTTCATCAAGCGTCGCTTTTTTAAGATACTTTGGATGCTGACTTTTTGCTTTCTATGTTTGTGGCGCTACACAGATGTGCTGCTGCTTTTTGCTTCTTGCTTCTTGCCATTCTAGTGGCAACTTGTCAAAGTGGTAAGACGTTAACTGAAGTTGACTTAAAATCACTCTGATGTTGCCGCCGCGTGTACTAAGTGCGAATAAATTACACTGTAAAAAACTACAATAAAAATGAGCAACGAAAAAAAAAACTGCTAAAACATAGCACAATGTAGGGCGTTACTATGTTGGTAATTTACGAAAGTGCTTTCTGCAGTGCACTAGGAAAGTGTGCTGGGCGAAATTTTTGAAATTAAGTTGTGCAGTAAACGCCGTTGTGCAGTCGGCAGAGGCGTTTCTGCAGTTGTTGCAGTTGGTGCAGTTGTTATTTCATTTACATATTTCACTGCTTTTTGTTGTTGGTGAATGCGCATAAAAGTGCATTCATTACATTTGCATAATTTTTATGAATGTGGCATCATTAACCTAAAAATGAAAGTTACTCATACGTCTGGGTGACTGCAAAAATGTTTTCATTCAGAGACATTCACTTGATTTTTATATTGTCTGCTTATAAAGAGGCTAAGTAACCTATATAATATAAATAACACAGAATATTTTTGTATAATATATTTCAAACACATTAGTTAATGTGTCGAATTTTCCAGTTCAAATAAATTGCTGAATTATCAAATATATGGCATATAAAATTTAATATTCAAAACCAACTGAAAATTTATATCCCCTGCTTGATATACATTTTCATAAAAATACGTAATAAAACGTAATAAAATACCAAAATTTATTTTATGGTTAAATACATTTTGCTTGCACTTACCCACAATATTTAAATTAACTGAATAGCTCCGCACAGGTTGAGTTGATATTTGACACTCATATACGCCGGCATCCCGCTGTTGTGCCCATTTAATTTGCAGTGTCCACTCATCGATATCACGATGGTATGAAGTTTGAAACCTTTGATCCGTTGTATAGGTGTATGTGCCGACTGTTAATATATGCAGGTCACGATGTCGTATCCAGGCGACCTAGTACGGATTAAAATGTAAACAAGTTGAAATTTTAATTTAAACATAGTTACGCTTAAATTTAACTATCAATGAATTGGAGTAACTGCGTCAGTAGCGGAGGAACAACGGAAGCAACAGCAGCAATGACAACAAAAATAATAGCAAAAGTTGTAATAAAAATAAAAATAAAAATTTGACCACTCAGTAATGGAATTGGCGACGCCATGCATACAAATGAATTTCAAATGAGTTTGAACTGCACTTAATTGGAAAATTGCTATGACATTGATGGACCGTACATGATGTATGGAGAATATGAATTATCAGAATTTACGAAATATTACCGAAATAATATTTCAATTTAAATTGTGTACATAATGGCGTGAGATTGTGTACATATATTAATTAGAATAAAATTTTCTAAATAATTTTTGTTTTGAATAATAGACTTGGTATTAAATTTGGTAATATAAACTTTTTTTGATAAGTAAATAGAAAATATATTCTAATTACACTTTTTAAAAAAAAATTATTAAAAATTATTCAATAATGAAACATTATTAGTACAAGATTTATGACTGAGATACTGAGATATTTCATAAAATCAGTTATATTATATCTTTCAAAAACTTGAAGATAATAAAATTAAATCTAATCTCACTTTATAAGAAATAGTCTGAGAAACCGCTGCAAACCTTAAATTCCCTCGTAAAAAATACTTACACTTACACTTATCGAACCATTTTTATTTTACTTTTGTATGGTTTTTGTATGATAAATTGCAACAAATTTGTCGAGTTAAGTACTATTGCCTGAATATAGCATAAGCTCGTTTTTTTAACATGTAATAATACTCTGTGTAATAACTTGCTCTGAGACAGGTTAGTCAGAGATAAATCAAATGAAAATTAAAATTTCAAATACAACAGTCACTATAATAATTAAATGTTTTAAATTGCTTAGCACATATTAGCTTTACATAAACTCTGGAATGAAAATAGTTGATTAGTTAGTTCCATTTAAATGAAAAAAATCCGTCTATTTAAGCGTATCTACTACCGCAATTGTCTTAGCTACGAACGTCTGCGGCAATCAGTTTTTAAACTTCATCCTATACCCTAATCACTCATATTCATTGACAATTATCTACTAGCAAATGCCCGAAGTAAATTTATCGAGTTTCAAGACCCGCTTATTAACGTTATTCAACTTAGTACTGTATTAAATGATTTAGCATCCATCATAGCATATAAGCCATTCGAATACCTTATATTATACCTGTTAGATTGTGTTTGAATAGCTACTTTCATGCTCACTCCCTATAAACGCTATGTTCAAAATCACAGTTGTGAAGTCTTCCATATAAGTTTTTAATTCTCTCCTGATTACTGCAGTAAGACCATGACTTTAACGATCAATGACTGGAATGAAAAGACTATAAAACTAGTTGGGTAATGTATGTAATGTATTTTTCATACTCAAATTCCCAGAAAAACATACAGCGGTCCGATTTCGGAAAATTGTGTCTATATAGTACTTTTATCATAAACATCACATATATGTGAGCACTCTTATTTTTGAGAGTACTAAGATTTTTTATATATATGCATTTTTTCCAAAATTATCTTTTTGATTTATGACAATAATTTTCGAAAGTACCATAAGTAACAATATCAACAGAATTTTCTATTGTAATTAGTTAAGTTATTATCTGGATGTTGTGAAAACTCGCAGGAAAAAGAAACCATAATACATTTTCTCTATGAATGCCCGGTTTTGTTGTCTAGAAGGTATAGGTTCATAAGAAAATACTTCTTTGATGGTTTATTAAACTGTTCATCGGTGAAGAAGAAAGACCTATTAAATTACCTAAATTCGGGGGGATCGATTCAATCACTACTCTTCTATCCTAGGGTTCTTGTGAGGAATGTGGTAGCAAAACGGCGGATAATTGTTATTTCAGGTACATGAAAGTTATCGAATGAGCTGCCACTGCAACTAACCAACCATCTGGTAAAAACAAAAGAACGGATTAGTAGACGCCGCCAATTATAAAGACTCTCTGTAGCACTCTGAGTTAGGCTATAACTGGGCTCTGAATAAGTGCATATTTGAGTATCACTTACGGAAACTTTGATTTATAGAATGATTTTATTTCTAGTTTTAAATATTTAGTAAGCATATTGCCTATAACAGGATACAAGCTTGAGTTTGCATCAAATTCAAAATAAATTCTATCTCTCATGTTTTTAATATGATATCAAAATATATATTTACAGACTTCCCACAACCGTTTATATATATTTATATTATTTGTTTAAATTATTAAGTTTTTCTATATTCCAGGTTTGTATTTTCTGCAGCAATTGTTCTTGAAAGTGAGAGACAAGCTGCATTTAAATTCAAAATATTTTATTTAATTTTTTATAACTTTCTACTAGTAAAAAAGCAATTCTTCAGTGCACTCTCTTACTTATTTCACCTTAAAAATTTTAATTAATTACTTTCAAGCAGAAGGGCACAGTTAAGCTGCTGCAGGGTATCCTGTAATTAAGTACCTTGACGTACAACTGCGCACTAACCGCCACTTACTCGGGTTCTTCGTAGATGTATGCGCAATTGAAATAACTGATTAATTATACTAACTGCAAGGCACTAATTTCATGTTGTTTCTTTAAATGCAAGAGTACGCGGTATCTCCGGGCGCTTTGTGGTGCAGGGGAGTTAACTTATGCATTTAGACTATTCACAGTATATTATTGTTGTACTTGCAGGATTGTTGTAGTTGCAAGTGCACTGACATAACCATTTTGTGAAATGCATAAATTTTGCAGATAAAATATACAACAAAATGGAAATATAGAATTTTCTGAATTAATTATGTAGTATAATGAATTACTGCAGCGCGGTCTTGCATTAGTGACTAGCTATCTTTAGTGTTTATCTCATACCATGCACACCTAACTATTGAAGTAGTTATTTTAATTGGTAAACATGCTGCTCACCTAACTGCTTACTTCAGCTACTTGTTTACTTAATAAAATGCAATTATGAAATTTTAATTTATAAATATTATATTTAATACCAAATTAAAAATGTGCAAAACCATTAAAGCGTTTATCTCAGCACTCAACGATCTTAGTTGCTTCAGCTCATAATAAATTCATCCAAATAAGCATTCATTAATTACGCGAATATTTCTGTTTGCATTTATAGCCATAAATATTGCTTTTTAATACAATATACGTGAATGTGCATCTTTTTTAATCCGTAAATGAACTGAATTGCTCATTTGGTAAAATGAATATAAACATTTAAATGAACACAGACACACACAGACACACACAGACTCACGCAGACACTTAGCCACACTCATGTGGAATTGTAAATAACGACTTTAACCAGCAGTTAAATGACATGAGTGGATATAATGTTGCTTTTTAAAAGCGCCGTAAAGTATGCTTTTGTGTTTTTGCTGTTGTTTCATTGAGTTCGTTTTGGCGCTCCGGTCTCTTGACCTAAAATACAGACTTCCACATAATTTACTGAAACAAACGACCATCATTTCGCCACTTCATAGTTTGTTACATGTTCTTTATTGTAGTGAGTCCTGTCAGCGTTAACTTACGTTTACATTGTGGCCAACAAACGCCCGAATACTTAAGAAAAATTGCAAAGTTTTCGTTTGTAATCGAAATGAAAATGTAATTTTGTTACTTTCAGAAACTACATCAAAGAAAATAAAAATTTAAATTTGTTACTTCCTTCATTTATTTTTATATGGAATAGACCGAGGGTTGTCTTAGGAGAACCGTGGTGCAATGACTATGAACGAAATTAGTAATGATTATGAATTTGTAGTTGGAGAGGTCATTATGAATGGTATTTTAGAATGATTTCTTTCTGATATTTATAACAATATATTGCCTATCATATACTTAGTTTGTTAGGAATTTTTGGATTTATTAGGAAGATGAAAAACACTTTACTATAACATAGCTGACTTTTGTTCTGGTCAGATATATTAGGACTTAAACAAATGAATAAATTCTGGTTCATAAATTGACGGAAATAGTATTTTTCCAGTGCATATTTTTAGAAACTGAATAAAATACAGCAATCTGCTATTAGAGAAGAAACGATTTTAAGATTTGTTAAACTTATTCAAATTTAAGTCGATTTTCGATCATGAACTCGTTTATCTCAACATTTTGAGAAAAAAACACAGACTGAAAACATTATTGTAAAGAAGTTGTGGACTTTTGAGCTTTTATAGTGTTCAAAAAAATCAGGTTTATCACGTATGATTTTTAATGGAAATATATTGACTATAAGCGATATGTGTGTTCACAAGTTCTGTCAAACAATTCGTTGTAATGTAATATTCTTCATTGGATTAGGCTATTCTGGTAGTCGATTAATTTGATTAATTCTTTTAGATCTTACAGATCTATTAAAAACCACTGTTAATACAAAAAATTAACTGTTTTCACCTATGAATTTTATTTTATTTAACTAAAGTATGTGAAAATACAGTCGTTAAGTCGTAGACTTTTGAGCTTTTCTAGTGTTTTGTGACCAAAGAGCAGCAATTAAAAAAAAAACAGCTTTATCAAGTGGGTTTTTTTCTACAAATATATATTGACTAAAAGAGATATTTGAGTTTAGAAGTCCTATCAAATAATTCGTAAGAATGTGAAAATCCTTTTTTCATTATATTAGGCTGTCCTTGCAGTCGTTCTATTTGATCAAATTTCTTGGATCCTACGGGTCTGTTAAAATACTACTATTAATAAGGAAAATTAACATTTATCACTCATCATTCATTTTGAGGTTTTATTTAATCAGAGAATATGCGTAATTTTGTCGTTCCTGGATCCCATAACTTCTGCAGTACACCTGAGAAGCTTCTACATTTAGATAGAGAGCATGAATTTACAACGTCTACATATTTTGAACTATCTGAGATAATGGATTAACTGAGTTCTGGTGTATTTCAAGTGTCTATAACGTCACAA